TGCTACAAGAACCCTATTACCAAATAAAGCCTGTAGATCTTGCACCACAAAACTGTATGCCAAGCCAGGCGTGGTGGCTCACGCCTATAACCTTAGCACTCGGAGGCTGAAGGAGGATTTCTGTGACTTGAGGCCAGCCTGCACTACATAGTGAGACCCTATTTCAAAAAAACAAAACTATAAGCCAAAGTAAACTCCTTTATAAAGTAGCCTACCTCAGGTATTTCATTAAAGTAACAAAAACCTGACTAATACATTGGCTAAGAAACTGAGTCACCGAATACTTACTAACCTGTCCAGATCAAGTGCAAGATAAGCAGAAGCAGAACAAAGGCCAGAGTTATGTCGCTTCCCTGGTATCTCTCAGTACTCAGATACTTCTGAAATGATACCTGACATTCTTTTTATGGTTCTTTAGCTGATTTGGACAAAAACGAAAGGTGCACTTAAAAACACCTATATGAGCTGGGCATGTTGGCACACACCTGTAATCCCAGCACTCCAGAGGAAGGAGGATCACTGTGAGCTCAAGGCCAACTTGAGCTATAACCAAAACACACGTATGAAACAAAGAGCTGTCATTTGAGAAGAGAAATAAGACAAGACACACCTTGTTTCCACCTATGTTTTTGAAGGCCCGATAGATATTGAGCAGGGTAATGTGATCCCCCTCACTAGAAATGAACTTCTTCCGGACACCCTGTACTTCATCCCGCCGGGCAGGAGGGCTGTAGAGAACACTATCCACGGACAGTAGGGAAACGATAGTCAGAATCTCCTCTGTGCAGTGGAATTTGGGAGACAGGAGGATGGTCTGAAAATCAAAATTTAAAAATGTATAAACCAAGTTTTCTCACTTCTGAATACTGTACTTCTGTATATTCTTTTGTAGCTTTCCTCCTAAGGAGTTAAAGGGCAGGTGTCTCTAAAACTTTGCAGTCATTGTCTTACTTTTTTGTAAGACAGAGGCCCGCCTTCCCCAGGGGCTTCCTGTGCCTGAGGGAAGGGCCCATGACTTATGACTGAATCCCACACACAACATAAACCAGTGTTACACAAAAAGTAGGGGCTAAGTGCTCAAGAGAACAAGTGAAATTAGTCTAGATGCTGTCGGCACCGATGTTCACTTGGGATGGCTACACTGTAGTGTGCTGAAAGGGGACAGAGGAGAAGGTATCATTTACTTTGGCAAATTTGGGCTCTAAAGGAAATGCTGCCATCTTTCTTCCAATTGGAGTCAGGGTAAGCTGGTCATCCTTATGTTCAAGAGCACCTAACAGGTCCAGCTGGGCAATGGCCGCCTGAATGTGATCTAAAGAGACAGAGACATAAAAAGGAGCCAAAATTTCAAAACAGGAAGGAGTTGCAGCTAGTTCAGTACTTCTGAGTTTTTGATAACACTACAGCAAATACCAGCAAAGACCATTCTCACCACTGCCCCTGACACACTTTTTAAAGCTGTTAATGACACCTCTAAAGAACAAGAGCTGGGTGCAGAGGCACACACCTGTGACCTCACACCTGTGAGAGGCTGAGGTAAGAGGATCCCAATCTCAGGTCCCACATGGGCAGCTTAGTGAGACCCTATCTCAAAATAAAAATAAAAAGAGCTGGGGAGAATGTAGTACAGTGTGAGGGCCTTGGGTTGAATCCTAAATACTGCAAAAAAGAAAGAAAAAGAGCAAGAGAATTATTGAGAAAATATGGACAAGTAGTCAGCTGGAGGGAGTAGGCAGGAGGCAAGGCTGGCCAGGCAGGGAACCTGGGGAGGTTTCCACGGAATTGGTAATAAGTACAGAGATGCTGGCTTTGTAACTCCTTGTACCTTACATGCGACTACTCTTTTGTAGGAGTTAAGCAATGAAAAGAAAAAAATAAAGTATAGAGCAGTATATACTCTATATACATAGTATATACTGCTCTTTGTGTTTTTAAGGAACTACGTGTACTGACATTGGTGCAGACTTTCTGTAGAAGACAACTAGAAAATAGCCACAGTGGGGGTTCCACAGGAGGAAAACTAAACTAGAGGATAGAGTGGGACCACAGGTTTATGTTATCTCTCCTTTATTTCTGTCTCTCTTCCTTTCTTGTAACAACTGCATCTCTTCACTTATAGAGATAGGCGTGGTAGCACATGCTTGTAATCCTAGCATTCTAGGAGGCTGAGGTAGGATGATCCCAATTTCTGGACCAGGCGGGGCAACTTGGTGAGACTCTGTCTCAAAGTGAAAAATAGGGCCGGGTGTAACTCAGGGCAAAGACCCTAGGTTCAGTCCAAAATACTGAGGAGATGGGGAAGAAAATAGTATATTGGTAAGAGGCCAGGTGCCAAAACTACCATCATCATGCAGAATTGCAGTTGTTTTCTCCTTCCTTCATAGGGAGATTACCAATGAAGGGTAATCTACTACTCCCTAGTAGCCATGTTCCAAATAAAAGCAAAGACAGTGATCTTCTGCCATCCTTCTGCTGATGAAAGCACAGTTTCATTAGGTTTCTGCAGTATTCCATGGATATTTGATGCTGCTGACAGTACTGAATCAGTCACTTGATGGCTTTGAGTTGTTTCCGATACTGTTATCCATAAAATTAAGTCAGCTTAAGGAGATTACCGAAATGCTTTTCTGCTAAAATACTTTTTTGGGGAAGAGAAGATTTGTTGCTGTCTATACATCCACCTCCCACAACGTTGAGGATCCCACTTACCTGGAGATGGTTTGGACATGAAGTCAAAGGTGAGCACGTTTGGAACTTTCATTGCCAGGAGCTGCAGCATCACATTTGAAAGGTTACACCTGTGAAGAGTGAGAGATGAAGGTCACTCATCTGTCCCTGATGAGCTGGTGAGTCAGTCCTGTTCCCTGAGGAGCATTAGTGAAAACTGTAGCTCTGGGAAAACATGAGCAAACAGGAAAGAGACACCAAGAGAAAAGGCTGGAATGCATACGCAGCTCAAGCCTACCTTTGGATCTCTGGCACAGTCATCTTATCGAACTTCTCAAACTCCTCCTCAGTGTAGAGCCGGTAACAGACGCCACTGTCCTCTCTGCCAGCCCTCCCTGTGCGCTGCCAGGCCTGGGTCTTTGACACCCGCTGCACAGCTAACACCTCAAGACCACTGTCTGGAGGGAGAATGGGCCCCATGAGTGCTTTGCTCATCAAATAACAAGCAGTTTCAATAGTGCTGACAATGAAATGGTCCTCACACCACCAGTCTTTCTGCAATTCAGGGGTCTGGAAACACTCAAGGCTAAATGAGAAAGCACAAAAAAGCAGGTTGCTCTGAGGTGGTTGGGCCCCGCAGTGAACTGGGCCTTGCAATGAGCCCTCTGCGAAATCTGTCACAAAAACATCAAAAAGACTTATTCCCGTAGCAAGGAATCAGAAGAGTAGTTTTTAGATCAGGTCATCCACCCCAGTTTGCCTGGGACTGACGGTTTGTTGGCCAGGGGACCTCCTAGGAGGTTGGTCATGCTATTAATCAATGACTCAAAGTAAATGCCTCAAATCACTTACATGTTTTATCCCTCCTGATTCTGAGAAAAGAGATCATGTTTGTTTCTTAGGAGTAAGTGGCATTCATTTTCTCAGTAAAAATGTGTTTTGTGCCAGGCACTGGAGACCCATGCTCATTTGTACACATTATCTCTAGGAGTACAAGTGTCTGAGAGTCAGCCCTTTAAGTGCTTAGCAGAGGACTTAAATATTGGGGAGCAGAACTTCAGCTGCCTCAAGTCCTCTGTAGGATAAAGCAGGTATAAAGCAGAAATGAGTACAGAGGACGTTAAGCAAGCTGGCCACTGCACTTTTGCAAGAGACTGCTGGTGCTTCACACTCTGTCCCTCACTCCAGCCTCTGAGTGTGTCTCCTTCTCGGGAAATGTGGGAGCACAAGCCAGCCACATTCATATACTATTCCTGAAAGTCTGACTGGTATTAGTCTGTCCCTTGCCTTCAAGTCATTATTCCTATCCACCTTTCAATGAGCTCACAGAGCCTCTGCCCAGGTTCCTGACCCTGTTCCAGGTTTGCTAAACCTGCGCTCTTCTTTCTTGTCTTGACTTCTTATCTCACAAACCTGCCTCGGGTCTCCTTTTTGGACTTTACTTGTGCAATCTTACTTATGGTCCCTGCCATTCATATCTCAATTACTTACAAACATGAAATGCTCATTGTGGGGAAGATAGTGGAACTACAGTGTCAGTGGTTGCTTGCTATTCACAGGAGAGACATTCATGAGCTACGAATTCTCACCAGGGTTATACTTCTTTGCTTTAACCATGCCCGTGTCAACTACATATTTTATTCCTGAAATGGTTATGGAGGTTTCAGCGATGTTGGTTGAAATGATCACTTTGCGATAGCCCTAAAAGGAGGAAGAAAACCAAAAAGCCATATGACACACATATGATTCAGAAGTTTCAAAACATATTTGCACCGTTAATTTCCACAATTCACTCATGACCAAGAACAGATGACTTTGTTATTCATGACAGTGACTAATATTAATCGTAAGTCATTAAACTGGGCCATGGGAAAAGAGGATGACCCTGCAGCTCTAAAGGTTAACCTCAGATGATGTGATGTAGCAGAGGAAGCACAAGATTTAGAAGCAAGCAAATGTGAGTCAGACTCCAGCCCAACCAGTTTCTTACACTGTAACCCTTGAGCATATTCTGCCTCCTCTCTTGGCTTCAGGACACCCATGGGAACACCATGAGAGTCAGTGAGGATGAGAGACAGTGGATATGAGTGCTAAGACCAGGCCTGGCACCGCAGAGGCACTCAATAAATGGCACCGTGGACAAATGAGGTTTCTATGATCCCTCACTCGCCAGCCTTTTTTCATCCCCTGACCACTGTCCCCTGTTCTTCTCCTGACAGCCGTTCCCCTGTACTTCTCACAGGTAATATTATTTTCATCAGCTCACCTGCCTGAGCTGGTACTTGGCCAGTTGACCTTATCTGGAGCCCAGTTACAGCCACACAGTCCCCACTGGTGGATCCAACTGGGTTCCAGGAGTGGGACTGGACAGAAGCAGCAGTGCACTCACCTTTGGGGCCCCTTGGAAGACTCGGAGTTGCTGTGTGTAGGGCAGGGAGGCATACAGAGGAAGGACTAGCATCCCAGGGCAGCCGTCTGGGAGGTGCTTTGCAATGTCTCGGCAGGTTTTGCTCATTGCTTCAATCTCCTCCTGACCAGTGAGGAACACCAAGATGTCCTGAGAAGAAGGGGCTTCCTATAAAAAAGTTAGAAAGGAAAGTCACTCATGATATTTCTCAGTTATTTTTCTCAATTTGCAGATGTAAAGCCTCAGTATAGCCAGGTAGGTGACACACATCTGTAAGCTCAGCTACTCAGGAGGCTGAGGCAGGAGAACCATGAGTTTGAGGCAAGCCTAGGCAATTTAGCAAGACTCTGTCTCAAAGTAAAATAAAAAGGGCCAGAGATGTAGCACAGTGGTAGAGCACTTGCCTCAAATACACAAGGCCCTAGGTTCAATCCCCAGAACCAGAGAGGGGGCCGGGAGAGGAGAAGCAGCTTCAATGTTGATGTCTCCCTGGGAGAAAACCCTACTAGCAATGTATAGAACTATAATGCACATGAGTTGGCCAGCTGTGTTTAAAAACTTGGTAAGGAATTTGTTTTTTTTTTTTTTTTTTTTGGTGGTACCAGGGATCCAGCTCAGGACCTTGCACTTGCCAGGCAGGCATGGCACCACTGAACTACATCCCTGGCCCTAGGTAAGAAATTCTTGAAGGAAAATTACGAGCTTGCTTTCTATAAGAACAACAGCACGAAAATTTAAACCAGGCAAAAAAAATCTGAATAAAGCTTTCTTTCCTTTATAAGCATCTTGAAAGACAAAGCAGATAAGAGACAACTTAAGAGAAATACTAATCCATGAAAATGGCCAGAAATAGTCAAGCTTTCAGGGAATCCTTATTAATGAAGCTATCAAGCACACTTTCCTACCTACACTTGAAAAGTACATTATCTTGGACAACTGAGAGGCTGAAGTTCACTGGTTCTTCATCTTCAAAGAGCATAACATCTAAGTGTTAATGCATATCCATTTACCTGATTTTTTCCTTTCTTTTCTTCTATTTTTTTTTTTTTTCTCTTTTGGAGATTGAACCTAGATTGAACCGAGGATTGAACCCAAGGTCTCTGCACTAAGCCACACCCTCAGTATTTTAAAAGTGTGTGTGTGTGTGTGTGTGTGTGTGTGTGTGCACGCATGTGTGCACAGTACTGGTGATTGAGCCTTAGGGCTCTCATAGAGATATATTCCCAATCTTTTTTATTTTTAAAATTTATTTTTTAGGTACCAGGGATTGAACTCAGAACCCTGCACTTGTGAGGCAGGTGGAGGCACCACTGAGCTAAATCCCTGGCAGGCCAATCCTTTTATAATTTTTTATTTTGAAATGGGGTTTAAGTTGCCCAGGTTAGGCAACTGCCTCATCCTCTCAGACTGCTGTAAATATAGGCATGCACCAGCAACCTGATCTTCCTTTGATATGTATATCTTTAAATAGATTTATGAACTGCTTGATAGCAGAATAATAGAAAAAATTCTAGTAATAACTAATGTGTGTGTGTGTGTGTGTGTGTGTGTGTGTGTGTGTGTGTGCAAACACAGTTGGCCCCTCAAATCTTTGGGCTCTATATCTACAGATTCAATCAGTAGCAAATCAAAAATATTTTAAAAACTTGCACTTGCACTGAGCAAGTAGACATATTTTCTTGTCATTACTTCCTAAACAATATAGTATAACAACTATTTACATGGCATTTACATTTTACTAGGTATCACAAGTCATCTAGAGATGATTTAAAGTATACAGGAAGATGGTATGTAGGGTTTTTTTTAAGTGTTTTACTTAACGCTTCTCCCCTCCCTTTTATTTTTTTAAATATGAAAATATGTATTTATTACCAACAAAGTAGAATTTCCAACACAGAACCCTCCCTTGTTTTATTAGTATATGTTTATAATATATAATACATTCATCAAAAGTAACTGGTTGTTATGGTTTCTATGTAGATGGGCCCCCTGGTAACTCGATCATGGGGACATAACAACCATCAGTGAATTATTCCACTGACAAGTTTACAGGTAAATGTGACTTGGGAGATGAAGTCTGATGGGCCTTGGAGTGTGGCCTGGGAGAGTATATCTCCTTCCCTCCTCCCTTGACCTCTCTGTTTCCTGTCTGCATGCCATAAGCTATTTCTTCTCTGCCAGACCACCCTTCCCTGGAGCAGGCCAACTATTGACTGAAACCGCTACAAAACTGTGAGCCAAAATAAATCTCTCATTTAAGTTGTAGATGTCAGGTATTTTGTCCCAGCAACGAGGAAAGTAACAAAGACAGGCTTGGAAGGCAAAATGTCTAAGGAAAGCCAGAAGGAGTCAGCAAAGTTAGACCAAGAAAGAGGTCATGACAGCTGTAAGCACAGGCAGTGCGGTATGGGCAGGGCAGCGCCAGCCAAGCCCTTTGGAGTTTACAACTTGCCACAGACTGCCCTGAGTGCAGGACATGGAGCTACAAGACTTAACGTTTGTCCTGCTGGATTTCAGTCTTGCTTTGGTTCCACCGCTTTCTATCTCTCTACTCTTCCCTTTTGGATGGGAATATTTATCATTTACCATTGTATGCAGGAAGTGTTTTAACTTTATTTTTTATATTTAGAGGGGCTTGCAACTAAGAATTTAACTTTCAGAAGCTATTTTGGACTTGAACTTTTCAGCAATGTTGAAACTGTAAGACTTTGGCAACTCTCAGATATGGACTAAATACATTTTCCATAAAGAGATGTACATGAGTCTTTTGGGGACTAAGGGCAGAATGCTCCGATTTACATCTAGATGTCCCCCAAAAGCCTCATGTGTGCATAGGTGGGGTTTGGGGGAGATGACTGGGTCATGGGACATGATAATCATCAAGCGGATTACTGCAACTATGAGTTGATAGCTAAATGTGATTTGGAGGTGGAGCCTGGTAAAAGGAGGTGGGTCACTAAAGGTGTGGTGTAGAAGGGTTTATCTTCCTCTCTGGCTCTGGCCTCCCACCTCCCCCGCTTCCTGTCTGCTATGCTATGAGCTGTTTCTTCTCTGCCATGCTGCCCTACCTTGGAGCCAGCCGATTATAGACTGAAACTTCTACAAATGGAGCCAAAATAAACCTTTCCTCCTCTAAGTTAAGTCTCAGCAACAAGACAGTAACTAAAACACTGACATATACATATCACATCTTGATCTTTTTTACTTCTGGTCTTCTCTCATTCACAGATTCTCTTCCCATCTCCACGTCTTTTGAGAAACCCAAAGTTACTAGTACAAAAAAAAGCAAAACAAAACAAACAAACAAACAAACAAAAAAAACAGATATGTGGATCAGTGGAACAGAACAGAGAAAGCAGAAAAAGTCCCAAGCACATTCAGCCATCTGATCTTTGATAAAGGGGCCAAAACTACACTGGAGGAAAGATAACCTCCTTAACAAATAGTGCCAGAAAAACTGGTTATCCACATGTAGAAGACTGAATCTAGCTCTATCTCTCTCATCACATACTAAACTAAAATCAAAATAGATCGAAGATCTAAATTTTAAAACTGAAACACTTAATCTTCTAGAAGATAAAATAGGTAAAATCCTTGAAGACATAGGTGTAGGCAAAGACTTTCTGAACAGAACCCTAGTGGCAGAAGAAATAATACCAAGAAGCAACAAATGGGATTATATTAAAAAGCTTCTACACAGCAAAAAAAAAGAAAAAAAAAACAAACAAACAAAAGAATGAAGAGACAACCTAAAGATTGGGGGGAAATTTTTGCCAGATACTTCTAGGGCAGAGGACTAATATACAGAATATTTATTTTAGCATACGTGCTGCTGAAGTGAGCACTACAGAACATATAAAGAACTCAAAAAAATTAGGACCACTCCCAACAACATAAAAGACCCAATCAAAGAAATGGGCAACTGTGGCCAGGAATTGGAGGTCAGTCTAGGCTATACAATGAGTTCAAGGTTAGCCTGGGCTATGTAGGGAGACCCTGTCTCAGAAAAAAATACAAAAAAGTGTGTGTGGAGGACACAACTGAAATTAATAAACATCTCTCAGAAGAGAAGAAGTACAAATGGTCGAGAAATATGTGAAAAAAAAATGTTTGAAACCTCCAGCCATTAGAGAAATACAAATAAAACACCAAGATTTTAACATACTCCAGGGGAAAGAACCTTTCTACATTGTTGTAATGTAAACCATTGTAACCACTATGAAAATCAGTATAGAGGGGCCGGGGATTTAGCTCAGCAGTTTGGTGGCCTGCCTTGCAAGTGCAAGGACCTGAGTTCAAACCCCGGTACCAAAAAGAAAATCAGTATAGAGATTCCTCAAAAAACTAAAAATAGAAATTCCATTTGACCCAGCTATTCCTCTTCTAGGTATTTCCCCAAAGGAGTTAAAGACATATTATAGTGATACATACATACCCATGTTTATAGAAGCCCAATTCACAATAGCTACATTTTGGAGTGGCCTATACGTCCATTAACAGATAAATGGATAAAGAAAATGTAGTACTTATACACAATGGAGTACTACTCTGCTATAAAGAAGGATAAAATTGAGTAATTTGTAGGTAAATGGATGCACCTCGAGACCATAATTTTAAGTGAAATAAATCAGACACACAAGCTTAAATATCACGTTTTCTCTTATATGAGAAACTGAGAGCATAACTAATTAAGTAGCAAAATAAAAGATAGATAAAGGAAACAGAGAGATAGATCTTTCACAAATGAAAAGGGGATAAAGAGAAGGGGAGGCACTAAAAAGAACTAAAATTTGCTATGTATATGTACCAACTCCTGTTGATGAATGTAACCATCATGTACTGAGAATAATGTACTAACAAAAACAAAAATTCGAGAGGAAAAAAAAATAGAAACCCAAGGTATAGATAATTTAAAGAGCAAAATAGATGATAGGAAACAGGGAGATAGACTAGGAGTGTATGTTATACGCAGATATTACAACACTTAATAAGGAACTTTAGCAACCTCACATTTTGGTATCTAAGTGGGACCTTGGAACGCATCCACCATGGGTACCATGGGACAACTGTAGATATAAATACATAAATGCATTTATATATTTATGCATTTGTGCACTTCTTGAATCCAGTATTAACAGGACAAATGACAAACAAGAAAAAAATTCTAAGATGGTAAAAATTTCATCAGTAAGAGAATTCATCAAAACTACCATACAGGGGCTGGGGATTTGGCTCAATGGTTCTGCTGCCTGCCTCATAAGCTCAAGGGCTTGAGTTCGATCCCTGGTACCGAAAAACAAAACAAAAAAAACCCCCAAAACTACCATATAACCTGAATGTACCAGCAGCCACTACTCATGAAAAATGTTCATCTCAAATTTGCTTTTGGCAGTTAAACAAGACAGACTGACATTTTTTTTTCCTTCCTCAAATACTATTAACTTGACAAGAAAGGTCATTGTCTCAAAATAACAAAAGACATTGGTAGATCAGAGGGTTCAATTCATTCTTGAAAGATGTAGGAGATGGTGGGGAGCAGACTTGCTGAGCAGGGAAAGCTGCAACCTGGAAGGGTACAGCTCTTCCATGACAGTGATAAGAAATGAGTTGATTTCTCTTCAGGATCCAGAAAAGCTCAGGACTCAAGGAAGCAAACCAGAGGTGAGTTATGAGACAGTGGGGGGAAAAATATCAAACTAGCTCAAAGTCTAAGTATTGTCTGGTTAAAACCCCAGGTTTTCCCCTCTGTCTAGTATAGCCAGGTTAGGAAGCCACTGGAGGCCACAATGGGCTTTACTGAAAAAGAATGGTGAGGGAGTCAGGACAACAGCTGCACAGAAACCTAGGAGAGCCAGCTGCTCCAAATTGACAAAGCATAAACGACCCAGGAAAACAGAGGCGTGACTGAGGTAGGAGGATAACTGCCAGTTCGAGGCCAGCCTGGGCCACATGGGTGAGTACAAGACCAGCCTGAACTACATAGCCAGAGCCTGTCTCAAAAAGCCAAAACTAAAGACAACAATGACAACAAAAAAGATAGATTGTATTTGAACACAGAGTACGTATTTATGATTGTCATATGAGAGAAGTTGGACTATTTGGGGAAAAAACGAGTCATAGCTACAAAAAATTTTATACAATTGTGTGGTCCAAGAAACTAAGAATGAGTTCAAAGTGCTTCAATGTACAGTCATAGTATTGTATAAACTCATTTATAAAATGGATTTAAAAACTTATGCTATAACTATGTTCAGAGAATGGAGAATACAAGCAGGGGTGGAGAATGGGTATGTCTAAATCTTGGTCTATCTTGGTAAGAAATTAGCACACAATGACTAATAATAAATCAACAAACAGGAATATAAGCAGGGTAGTTTAGAAAAACAAAAGTAATGAATCAGTAAAGGGATTGAAAACGGTTACAGTGAAGAGCAAGAATATGAGGTGGGGAAGTGAAGGCAACTGCTATTTTTTATTATGTGCCTTTTAATATTAACCACCTGACTTTTAAAAGCCTATTTATGGCCGGGTGTGGTGGCTCATGCCTGTAATCCCAGCACTCGGGAGTGCGGGAGGCTGAGGCAGGAGGATTGCTGTGAGTTCGAGATCAGCCTGGACTACATAGTGAGTTCCAGGTCAGTCTCAACTATACAGTGAGACCCTGTCTCAAAAAAAAAAAAAAAGCCTATTTATCGGGCTGGGGATTTAGCTCAGTGGTTCTGCCGCCTGCCTCACAAGTACAAGGTAGCGAGTTCAATCCCGGGTACCAAGAAAAAAATTTTAAAAAGCCTATTTATTTAGACAGGGTCTTGCCATGCAGGCTGGCCTTGAATTCGCTATGTACTTCAGACTGGCTTCAAATTGTAGCAGTCCTCCTGCCTCTGCCTTCTGAGTGCTGTGATGACAGGTGTGCACCACCATGCCCCACGAACTTTTTAACTTTATATATATAACATTTAGTTTAAAATAAAAATTACTTCTAGATTTCCTCAGAAAATTAATTGGAAGATTAAAAAGCCAATTTTATACAAACAAAAATGAGGCATTTAGTCACTCATATTTTTAAAGTAAATGTTAACAGATTTTGAAATAGTTCTCTAATGTACAGTTTTAAAACAAAAAACAAAACACAACTCTAAGTTGCAATCTATTATCAGGTCAATGTTGACCTTTTGTATAAATAAGGTAGAAAATATTAGGGAATATTCCATATAATAAAAGAGGCAGCCCTTCATATACTTATTTCAGATAAGTTCCAATATAAATGTGCTTCTTACTGGAGGGTTTTGGTTTTTAAGAAAAGTACATAAAGCATTGCTCTAATATGAATACTTTTCTGGCTCAGGGGAGGAAAGCTATTCATTAGAGTTGAATTATTTTTGTTTTCAGAGAAAATAAGATATACAGATATATATGAAGTAAAAAAGCTAGATGTTATGGCTTGCGGCTAGATGTCCCCCAAAAGCCTCATGTGCTCATAGGTGGGGCTTTTCACAGGTTGTTGGATCTAGAGTATGTGATGGTAGGATTCAGTGTGTGATGCAGGGCTCAAGTATGTGATTATTAAATTAGTTCATTGATGGGTCTGGCACAGTTCTGGGAATGGATAATGGGAAGGCCCATCCTAGTTGTGAGTGCTACCCACCCTAAGGGCATGTAGCCTGGATAGAATATAAAGGACAGCTTCCTGCTGTTTCTTTACTACTTTGCTGCCTTCTGCCCACCATCGCAGTTTCTCCTCTGCAATGCCTCTCTGCCATGCCACCCTGCCTTGGAGCCAGCCAACTATGAACTGAAACCTATACAAACTGTGAGCCAAAATAAACATGTCATCCTTTGACTTTGGGTACGGGCTATTATGTCTCAGCAATGAGAAAAGTAACTGGAACACTAGACATAGCAAAATGAACTCCTTATTCATTCTGTGTATGTGAGGTGGGTAGGAGGAGTGGTCTGGGGAGTGAACCCAGGACCTTTCTCATGCTAGGCAGGTGCCCTGCCACCAAGTTACAACTTTAACCCTATCTGTATTTTATTTTGAGATGTACTGCTAACTTCAGGAAGACCTTGAATTTTCAGTCCTCCTGTCTCAGTCTCCTGAGTAGCTGGGATTACAAGTATATACTACTGTGCTCACCTCCTTATTCATCTTGATGAGACAGTTCACAAAGCTGTTATATTTAATGGGTGTTCTTTTTGAGGCTGAATTCCATCACTGATAACTGCAAGGTAAATCAGAAGAATTTGTACCCTCTTCCATACCTGGTGTATCTGGAAGACTGAGACAAGAGCGGCATGCAGGTAATCATGCTGAGGCTGTTTGGTATAAAAAATCTGGATTGGATGCTGCCGACCCTCCAGGTAGAGGACAGGTGCTCCATTGAAATACTGAGAAAACAGATCCACATCCATGGTAGCTGACATCACAACCACCTATATAAGAGAATGAGGAGGATGGGTATCAAGCATGGCGTGGCCTTTCTATGCCCCTCCCAAGCCCTAAAAGCGGATGGTTGGAGGCTGCTCTACTATCATCATTTAACTTTTTCCAATGGTTCTAACGCAGAATGGGCAGAGGAAAATACCCTGAAAAAAAAACCCCAAAAACCACAAGCCTGTTTCCTTAAACATGTGGCACATACTTTCAGAGGCAGTTTCCCCAGCTCCTTTCGCCTCTTCTGTGCCGCTTTCACCACTCCAAAGAGCACATCTGTGTGGATAGTCCTTTCATGGGCTTCATCCAAAATGACACAGCTGTACTTCCGAAGCAGGGAATCTGAAATTGCTTCACGCAGAAGCATGCCATCTGTTAGGAATTTGATCCTGGTGTCTTCGGAGGTGACATCCTCAAAGCGCACTGTATAGCCAACCTGTGTGACAAAATAATTCATTCATGCACTGAAAATGTGTCAAGTAGCACTGTTTATCCAGTGCTAGGCACTTGCATTATCCCAGTATGCAGACCCACACCACTCTGCCCTGCTCCTTCCAGTGAGCATGTAGTGTAGTTAGGGAGACAGACACAGATACAACCTTTAACTACTATAATGTTAAGCATTATATAGAATTTAAGTATTATGAATGTGTACTAACTCCCTTGTATGTACTCATTACATACTGCGTAATTTTATTTTTTAATAAAAATAAATAAAAAGAAGTTGGGTACAGTGGCACACATCTGTAATCCCAGCACTTGGGAGGCTGAGGCAGGAGGATTGCTGTGAGTTCAGGGCCAGCGTGGGCTACATAATGAGTTCAAAGGCAGCCTTAACTGGATAGCGTATCCCTGTCTCAAAAAATCAATTAAAAAAAATTTAAAGTTAACCTCCTCCCCCAAGCTACTTAATAGTTTCACAGGAAGCTATGCATAGATATGGAAAGACATCCAGGATGTTTTTATGTTAGCGCGCGCGCGCACAAACACACACACACACACACACACAAATAAATCTATCTCTATACCATTCTGTGACTCATCTAAATACCTACATATATGCTAAAATGACGCTATTATTACAATTTTTCTAGAAATGCTGAGCATGGTGGCAAGAGCCTGTCATCCCAGCATTCAATACATTGAGCCAGGAGGATCACCATGAGTTCAAAGCCAGCTTAGCCTACATTGAGTTTAAAGCCGGTTTGAATTAGATAGTGACACCCTGTCTCAAAACACTTTTTTCTAGAAAAACTTATAGATAAAAGAGATTTAACAGAGGTTACTGAAGCCTTAAAGATGCTCAAGGAAAACAATTAATTTGTTCAACTGGCCAAAAGCTTTTGAAAGCAAAGCAAATGGGACTAAGGGCTTGTTAGAGCCCGATTTCTCCGAAGCCAAGAAAAGAACTCTGAAATTAGTCTAGATAGCTGTGGCAAGAAAGATCCTTGCTATGATGAAGTCTTATTCAGAACATAAAAGGAAAAGGGCATGGTAGGAGCACTGTTTAGTAAAGAAGTACTGATGGTAACAAAGAAATGAAGTACCAGCTTCCCAAGTTCAGTTCTCTTCTCATCTGAGACTCTAGTAGCAAGAGAAATGGCAGCCACTCGACGGGGCTGGGTCACAGCAATGATGCCCTGGCGGCCAATACCCACTTCATAGAGGTACTGAGGGAGCTGAGTCGTCTTCCCAGAGCCAGTTTCCCCTAGGAAATCAAAAGAAATCTCACTTGAAAGCAAAGCAAATTCACAGAAAGTTCACCTAACAAACAAACAAAACAGCTTGAATGCAGAAGAAAAAGATTTTTTAAAAAATACTGAATTTGCCAGGGATTTAGCTCAGTGGTGTTACTGCCTGACTCAAAAGTGCAAGGACTTGAGTTTGATCCCCAGTAAAAAAAAAAAAAATAACAGAAAATAGCAGCTGGCAAGGTAGCAGGAGAATGGATACTTATGTGTATGCCACAGTGTTCACTGATACTGTTTCAGGGAGAAAAAATTATGTATTATGTTTGAAAAACCTGTAAAATGTTTTATCTTCTTTTTTTTTTTGAGACAGGAACTCACTATGTTGCTCAGGCTGGTCTCGAACACACAGCAATCCTCCCTGCCTCAGCTTCCCTAGTGCTGGGATTACAGGCATGTGCCACCACACCCGGCTTTTAAAGGTTATTATTATTATTATTGCTATTTTTGGTACCAGGGATGGAACTCTGGTCCTTGTGCTTGCGAGACAGGCAGAGGAACCGCTGAGCTAAATTGCTGGCCCATTGTTTTATATTTTCTGATCCATAATTGTACAATTGCACTTGCAGGAAGTGACTGTTTTTTTTGAGACAAGTCTTGCTATGTTGCTTGGGATGGTTTCAAACTCACTATGAGCGGGGAGTTGTGGTGCGCACTTGCATTCCCAGAACTTGGGGAGTCTGAGGCAGGAGGATCACAATGAGTTTGAGACCAGCCTGGGCAACATAGTTTAAGGTGGTCCTGAACTACACAGTGAGACCTTGTCTCAAAAACAGGAGGAGAAAGAAGAGGAGGAAAAGGAGGGGAAGTGGGGGAAGGAGAGGGGAAGGGAAGGAAAAGGAAGAAAACCCAAACTCACTGTGTAGCCCAGGCTGCTGTCTCAACTCATGATTCTCCTGGCTCAGCCTCTCAAATGCTGGGATTATAAGCATGTGCCTTGATGTTCAGCTGAGTATGAAAAATAATTTAAGGGCCAGGGATTTAGCTCAGTGGTGCCGTCGCCCACCTCACAAGCTCAAGGTCCCAAGTTCAATCCCCAATAACAAAAAACAAACAAACAAAATTAAAATGCTTTGTTCAGCCAAATGTCATGGTTCATTCATATAATCCCAGCTACTCAGGAGGTCGAGGCAAGAGGATCCCAGGTTCTAGGCCAGCCGAGGCAATGTAGAAAGACCTTTTCCTGGGGTTGGGGGGGGGAGGCTGGGTTGTAGCTCAGTGGTAGAGTGCTTGCCTAGCAGTGTAAGGCTCTGGCTTCAATCCCAGTACCGACACCTACTCATACACTGCAGCCATAACAACTTCTCATGCCCTGGTCTTCTGCTTTCTTTCTAACCCTCTATTTGCCCATACTATTGCAGATATAATACTGCCTGGCAAGCTACAAGATGAGCTGGGCAAATCTCCCCCTGGGGTCACAGAGGTGGCCCTCATTTGGATTTCTTAGTGCCTTGTTGGTCTCTCTTGTAGCACTGATCATCCTATGCTGTACAGAAGGGTTTAAATATTTCTGTCCTCTTTGAATACCAGAAACTTCTAAAGGGCAAAAATAGCCCCTGTCTCTTTGTGGACTTAAACTCCCTGCAGAGTAAGCATCCAATAAATGTCATTTCCTACTCACTGTGGGTCCCTTTCACAGTGTCTAATTGGAACAAAGAACTCAAGAAATGTGTGCATCCTCCTCTTCCCTTGCTACCATGACTCCTCTCTAACCTCACCAGGTCCTACCATCCTGTTATTCTTGCATTTTCTCCCACTCATCAACTCCGCTAACTGCTCATCCTGTTTGAACCAGCCAATAATCACAGACTAAGATTTGATTATTCTGTAATCCACCAGCACAGCCTCAAAGTTAGATCAATGTCTCTCTCTGCATCTTTCCCGCTCCTACACCAGAACAACTAAGTATCGCTGAAGTAAAATAACCCAAGCGTGTAGTGATGGTGTCAAACTGCACCCGGGAACCAACTCAGCCATTAATCTTGTTCCCCGTTTTGCCACCTGTCTTCCATTTCTATCTTCCCAAAGGCCTATTTGAGGCCTGGGACTCTATTCTCAGCAGAACTCCTGCACTTATCTCTCTTATATCTTCTCTTATTTGAGAAAAATTTCTCAAATGCGATTTTCCTTGACCTCCTCCTACCACTTTTGTGATCACACCCTTCCTTCTCCAGACCCACAGTCTCTGAGATGGCCTTCCTACTCCGGGCCAGCACTCCATCCATCCATCCCCCTTCAGAAGGGCCCCCTTCTCCATGCCTTTGCAAGTTCCTCTGAACCATTCTTTTCTGCTTCTGCATTTTTCTCACCTCCTTATTTCTCAGTTCAAGGAGAATCAGCTCTTACAGTCATGGTTCTGTGCTGCTGAAATAGCTCTCAATGAAAAAAAAAAAACAAAAACAAACAAACAAACCAGGCTGGGGATGTAGCTCAGCGGGCCTGTGCCTGCCTGGCAAGTGGAAGGTTCTGAGTCCAACCACCAGTAAGAAAGAAAGAAAGAAAAAGAAATAGCTCTCAATGGAATCCACAATCAGTGGCTGGCATCCAAATCCAGTGGGCAATTTCGGGTTGCGGGGACACAGATCATTGGACCTTACTCTGCATCTGTTCACTCCCTTCTTACAACTCATCCTCTGACTACCAGGCCTCCTGAGTCTCCCTATTCTCTTGGGCAGCTCATCCTCTCCGTCCTTCAGGAACTCACGGTCCCCCCCCCCATAACGGGGATCTAACTTAGAATCTTGCGCTTTTGAGGCAGGCGCAGTACCAATGAGCTAAATCCCAGAATTCCCGTTTCTTAAACTTTAGGGTTCAAATCCCTCTGGTATCAGTCCCTGCTCCACAACTCTTCTCATGCACCAGAAATGATTATTTTCTGTTCCATGACACTGTTTCCAGTTTCCCGTCTCTCAGGCAGGCTCTCTTCTCTACAGAGACTATCCTTTCTCCGGAGACCACCTCGTCAGCTGCCTCCTCACAGTCTGGGTTAGAGCCACCATCCTAAATTTCCAAAAGCCTTGGTGACCCCCCTCGGAAGGTGAATCCATGACTACACGTCTGTCACTCACTGGGCTGTCAAAAACTCCAGGGCAGCGCCGCCCAGCTCTCGGAGAATCTCTCCTGAAAAGGAGTTCACGACTGTTGCAGAAACGAATGTAAAGAGAATGGGTGGCACCCAAGAAAAATTGTTCTTCTTGAAGATAGGAAGGGAGGACAAGGAAGGGCCCTACCGGCATAGCCACTCACCGATGAGGACAGCACTGTCCAGGTTTCGAAGCTGGGCCAGCAGCTGTCCCCGCGCCTGGAAGATGGGCAGACTCCGGCGCTGCAGCTCCAGGGCCTCGCGGTAGGGACTGGCTGAAGGCTGGGCCAGGGGCGGCTGCCTTCGACCTCCTCCTTCTCCTCCTCCTCTGCCGCCGCCGCCTCTACCGCCACTGCCCGCTGTCAGCAGCATAACTACTCGCCTCCCAGGAGGGCAGGACCCGACACGGCTCGGAGGTCCTGAGCCGCGTCGGAATCTCTTGGCCGCAGGGAAGCGCGCCTCCTCCGGCATGTCGCGAGGGCGCCACGCGGGAGACCTCGGCCCCAGTAGCTCCCGCTCTTCGCCCGAGCGGAAGGCGAGCGCGCACCGCCCTTTCCCCCCACGTGCTGCGGGCTGCTCCCGGCGACCGCTGATGACCTCAAGGGGTCCCCAGCTGTTAGGAAAGGGACTACAATTCCCAGCATGCTTCGGGGTTCCAGGTTTTGCCTTCCTGGGGCGGGGTGGGGAGGGGCTGGTTCTGAGACCTCCCCCCAAACCAAGCCACAGAAAAGAAAAGGGGGGCCGGATGGTTATGTGGGATCTTGGTCAGGGATGAAGACTTTCTTCATCTCCTTGATTCCTTTGTTGTTATGGTAATACTATTTGTTGCCAGTAAAAATGCGTTTCTCTGTCTCTGCAGTATTTGCCACATTTCAAGGATTACTTAATTTGGTAAAATTCAGGAAGGTATTATTTAATCTTCTAAACAAGTTACGCGGCAGAGGCTGGTGTTATCCCCCATTTACAAATGAAGAAACGGAGTTTTCTGTGATTAAGGCCATTTGTGTGTCACACAATCTTAATTTTGAAAAGTATACTGGTGACCATCGTGTTATACAGGAGGAAAGAGAAGCCTATGGCTCTATTTGATTCTATGACAATTACGTGTTTTCCTCCGAAATATACTATCCCAGGGGCCTGATGTGTTCCAGTAATACAAGTGGGGAAAGAGGAATTTGAATGGCTCTTTAACCCTTTAACCCTTTTTTTTTCTTCTCCCAATCATGGGCCAGATTCTTTTTCCTCCTCCCCTCTCTCTTCTTTTCCTGGACCTGGCGATTGCACATAGAGCCTCGCGCTGAACCACATTCCCAGTCAATTCCCTCGCCTGCCTGCCTCCTCTCTCTCTCTCTCTCTCTCTCTCTTTCTCCTCTTGACACAGTCTTACTAAATTGCTCCGACGGGATTAGAACTTTGGATCCTTCTGCTTCACCTTCCAGAGAAGCTGGGATTACAAGTATGCACCACCACTCCGGGTTAAAACCTTCAAAGTCTTTACAAAGCAATCCAGCTCTTGCTGGGAGCACCGAGCTGTAGATCACTATGGCTGGGCCTAAGCGCCTTCTCCCTCCTTTGAGGCAGGACTCCGTGGGAAGGAGGAACGCACATCTTGCTCACTTCCTCCCACGGACTAGGCAGGGCCCCATGGGAGAACAGGCGAGCCTCCCTGTGGGTTCCCCGTAAAACCATCAAAGCATGATGTTCTGCAGAGATTAGCTGCTCTCCCTGTTCAAGTGAAGGGCAGTCCTTTCAACTCCCCTTGCACTAATGCTGTTGCCAGGCAGTCCTTTCTCCCAGTGGGAGGAAGCCTCCACCAGGCCTCAGCTTCTTACTGTCTTTGTCTTTTCTTCATCCCCCACCATTCTCCCTCCAAGGGTTTTCAGAGGCAGGGGACACAAGCTCCATCATATCCATTCTAACCAACGAAAATATTCGAATTCTAGCAGGGAGCAGAGACAATAACCAGTTCCTCCTTTCCTTTCTAAATTAAAAGCTCTTAGATGATTTGCTAATTCACTCGGAAAGGCTGCCAAGCAGTTGTTTGCTCTGTATACAGGAAATATGACCTTCAAAGAATAAAAGTATAAGATTCAATTCATGTGAACATCTGACGTTCACTTCCATGAAATCTGTTAAGAACCTGTATGTGAACTTGTTAAAACTCCTCCACCTGGGTGGGGATTTAGCTCAGTGGTTCCGGTGCCTGCCTCGCAAGAGGAAGGGTCTGAGTTCTGATCCCCAGTAACCCCCCCCCCCAAAAAAAATCTTCCTCCTTCCCTCCATGCCAGAAATAACTTTATCTAGGGCCAGGGATTTAGCTCAGCGGTTCGGTGGCCTGCCTTGCAAGCGCAAGGACCTGAGTTCAATCCCTGGTACCAAAAAAAAAAAAGAAATAATTTTCTCTAGTTGCTGATGGTGCAGTGACCAGGGGTTACTGAAAACGTGCACCTCAAACCAACTATATATTTTGGGGGGGGCGTTGAGACAGGGTCTCATCATGTAGTTGATACTGACCTGGAACTCACTATGTAGCCCAGGCTGGTCTTGAACTCACAGCAATCTTCCTGCCTCAGCCTCCCGAGTGCTGTAGATATATGTTTAATGAGAATAAGTCAACAGCTTATCCCTGAAGCTGAGCACAAGAACACATTTGGATTCAAAGATGTCAGGCTCTGAGGCTTTTTCTGAAGGCAAGCTCCAGAAGCATTAGAAAGAAAAATGAACTATATTTACTGAGAACAACTGGAAGATTTGAACCTCTTCTTCAATAGGAACCCATACCCAGACAACAGCCTTAGGAAGATGAGGGCTTTAAACATATATCCAACAGTACTGCAGGTTTGGCTCAAGAACCAGAGAGCAAAGTTCAAGAAGGCAAAATTTAACAACATTCAGCAAAAGCAGAAAGCTCAACATCAACCGTTAACCTGGAGCAGAAGCCTCAGCTAATCCTTCCCAGGAAAATGTAAATACATCACTCCAGTCCTCTGACAGCACTTACCCTATGGCTCTAATTTACTCGATCATGTGACCCTCTTTCTAATGAAGTATATGCCCCAGTAAGGACTCCACAGAACACTCTAGGGGCCACAAAATAGTCTTTTGGCTGCTGTCCGGACCCTGCTGTGTACTACCTTCATTCCATTTTGGAATCTCAATATTGCCCTACAAGTTTGACTCCTCTGCATGAAGGAGAGAGAGAAGATAGTGTGATGGTTGTAATGATTCCCATACAAGGGCATGCTTTCCAGCAATAAGGATCAAACTAGAGATAAACACAAATACATGGGTAGACTTTAAAAACATCATGTTGAAAAACAATGTGGAAAGAGAAAGGCAAAAATGACAGTTTGAGCTCAGAATAATAAATATGGCATATTTTGGAACCTAGGGCCTTCACAGAACTACATCCCAATCCTTCTTTGTGTGAGGTTCTTGTTAAATTACCCAGAGAGGTGTCAAATTTGTGGTCTTCCTTTCTCAGCCTCCATTCCTGGATGATACTGAGCCTCTGGATATAGGTCTACCTGAACTTCCCTCTCTCTCTTCCAATGTAAGGGAAGATATTGTGCAAAGTTACGTTATCTGCCTAAAGTCCAGACTTGAAAGTTATCTCTGGAAGCTTCTCTGAGCTTTAATCAACAAAATTCCTATCAGAGGAAAGACTTAAGTCTGTCAGCACACCTGAATGAAGGGTGTCTCCCACCCTTTTATTCTACTTTTGTCCCACAGAGATTTACAAACCATCTGTTCTGAGTCAGACTTTGTCCCAGGCTACTCTATGTTCTCAAGCCTGGTGAGTTCCCCTATTTATTATTCTCTTAAAATTCTCTAGAGCCAGGGATTTAGCTCAGTGGTTCTGCTGCTGCCTGCCTTGCAAGCTCAAGGACCTGAGTTTGATCCCTGGTACAAAAAAAAAAAAAAAAAAAAAAAAAAAAATCTCTATTCTTCCCCTCTCCTATTGAAATGGAGTACAGGGCACATGCCCTATTTATTTGTAAAAGTAACCACTACTCACTTTCAGGCAATGGTGATCCTACATGCCATTTTTCCTTCTTTCTTCTTGGTACTGGGAATTGAACCCAGGGTCTTTGCACTGAGCTACAACTCTTTTAATTTCTTGAGATAGGGTCTTGCTAAGTTGTCCAGCTTGGATTGAAACTCTAGATCCTCTTGCCTCAAGCCCTCAGAGTGCTGGAATTACAGATGTGTGCCACCATGCTTGCCTCGCCACCCCCCCCCTTTTAAGAAAAGCAAAAAAAAAAAAAATTTTTTTTGTCATGTGTTAAAAAATCGGCTTATTAGGGCTGGGGACTTAGCTTAGTGGTTCTGCTGCCTGCCTTGCAAGTACAAGGTCCCAAGTTTGATCCCTGGCACACACACACACACAAATTGGCTCATTAAAGGCAAAACACATCTGTAAGTAATTTATCCATAACCTCTTGCCTCAAGACTTAACCCTTCTGCAGCCTCAAAACTAAGATGAAAAAATAATTAAATCCTATATAAGGATGAAGCCATACTGTCTACATTTCACCCATTAGTTGCCTGAAATCTGCTAACCTCTCAAATTTTTGTGGTTCAGTGGCTTTCATATACAGATACCGACAAACTAATAATTATTAAAATATCCTGGCCCTTCTTCCAAAATGTGATACATCAGACACGTTGTCAGGGATATCTGTGGATTTACAGATCTTATCTGTGACCATACCAGCAGGTGATCCCTTTGGCTTGTATGAATACCAAAACACTGCCCCCAATCATATTCAGCTCTGCCTATCCCTTTCTAGACTACCATAACTCTCAGAAACCAGCCATAATTCCCATGTGTGCATACCCATTAATACCTATGCGATTAAAAATACCAGATGTTTGCCGATCAATATACAAAGTATTTATTCAGCAGTCATGTGCCAAGCACTGTGCTAGGCACTGTGGTGGATACAAAATTTAAGACATGATCCCTGCCCTTAAGGAGCTTACATTCTTATGAGGAAGACTAAAATACATGTACTAGCTAGGAACAGTGTAAGACAGTATATAATTTTGTGGAAGAGTATGTCATACAGATGTGAAACTTTGTAGGGATTCAAAGACAATGAAATAGGCCTTACAATCAAGATTTCTTGAGGTGTCAGGAGAAAGGCAAGGCCTTGAAGGACTGAAGACTTAATTCGAGATCCCTATTAGGTAGAAGTGGGAGTACGCTTCAGAGAGGAAGACAAAGTATGCATTATATATAGGGGCTTATTAAGAAGCCACTGTGGATTTCTCAGCAGAGAAATGACCTGACCACACATGGTTCAAACAGCTTTAATGCAATCTCATACTGATAATAATAGCAGATCTTGGCTAACAACACATGTGGAACTCGTCTGTAAAAAGAAAGTACAGCAACATAAAAACACTGGCAGGAGAGATGACAATTCTAGGAAGCCTGTTATTCAACATGGCCAATAGTGTCAATACTTAGTTTTCAGAGGCCCTCAGAGACAAAGTGAGGGATCCACTACCAAGATCCATAAAAATGGGTACTTTGCTTCAAGAAACTGTGCTAGTATGAAATTTTAGGATACACAAGACACAGAGAAAAGAACAACTGTAAGAGAGAAACAAGTACAAATCCATAGTAAAAAACAAAATTAAAAAAACACCAAAATGCATATAAAAATATCTACTAGGAGATGCAATTTATATGTCCATTTACTTTAAAAATGAACATATGCTGTATTTCTATAACGAAAAAAAAATCCCTATGTCTTAAGTCAGGGGTGTGCCTTTTGGTATTACTGGTAGAATCCAGGAGTCTCTCAAATTATATTGGTATATAAGGTTAGTTGGGCACAAAATTCCATGTATCAGATTTCACTTTTCAATTAACTTGCATTATGAAAAGGAAGTGTATTCTGGAAGAATGAAGTTCAGGATGTAAGTTGGGAAAAAGTACAGATTTTTCCTAATGGCCAGGGATACATAAAGATCCTGTCAAGCAACACAAGGCTAGGGATAGTGGTAGTAGGATTGGTCAGACTGAGAGGTCAATGATTCAAACTACCACCATCAGGACAGTGTAGTAACAGAATCCTGCCACTAGGATTTTACATCTTATAAAATGAGGAAAACCAAAATCCTGTAACTAACTGCTTTTAGGTTCTACCAGCAAAATGTGTTTCCTGTTATACTCAGTCACTGATGTGTAGTTATTCCCCACTTAGGTGAAGTAATTTTAGGATTAAAACTTTACTGTAAAAATTCTATTAACTGGGGACTGGGGATTTAGCTCAGTGGTTCTGTTGCCTGCTTTGCAAGTATAAGCTCCTGAGTTCAATCCCCGGTACTAAAAAAAAACCAAAAAAACCAAAATTCTATTAACTGGCTAATTCAAAATTAATGAAGGAAGAATAAAACTACAGACCCCCATTTCTAGCCCAAAACATTAAAAAAAAAAAAAAAAAAAAGATGTGCTGGCACATGCCTTGTAATTCTAGAACTCTAGGAGGTTGAGGCAAGAGGATTGTGAATTTGGGCCCAGTAAAACCCTATCTTGGAATAAAAGGGCTGGAGATGTAGCTTAGTGTTAAGGCCCTGGGTTCAATATCTAGTACTGCAAAACAAAATACAAAATATAACAGAAACACCAAAATGACTAAAAGGTTCCTTGAACAGAGACAAAAATGGTCAAATTTAAGAATCCCACAGGATTATATGATCTAAAATTGGCATTCAAACTTTAAAAAGACTCTAAACCTTTTAGGAAATAAAGCAGTCCATTGACCCAAGTTTCATAAAATTGCAACAGTCATATTCAAACTTACTTACTAGCAACATGTAAAATACGACTAAATTCCATTACTTATGCACATTACATTTAGAAAGACATTAAAATACTTTTCATTTTGGAAACACTCTGAAAATTTACATTTGTTTCTATTTAAGCCTATGTCAAATTTTCTGGGAAATCTCACTATGGAAAGCTACCCTTAACCAAGACAGAACGACTAAGGACGATCCAGTTTGGAGAAAGGATCTTACGCCTTTATGCTGCTTATGAAAACTAAGAGCACCTCTTTCTTGGGGGTGTCCTTTTTCACTCTTCTGGGTTCCGATTAAGCAGTATGATCACAAACCTCAGGAGACCATGGGAGACTTAATATTTTGGACCAGTAAATAATAGGCATTAAGTGCCAAATTTTGTAGACCCTAATTTCTATCTGACTGGGAAGGTAAACCAGGTACTTGGCTCTCAAAGTTTTCAGCTTTTCACGAAGCAAATGAAAACTGTTAACATTCTAATGACCAAGGAAGGATGTATGCTTAACTGCTGCCCATTTACCTTCCTGTAGATTTCCAAAACTGTTACCAGTCTTTTCTTCAATATTTCCTAATAGAGAAACAGAAGCACAACAAATAAGATGCTCGATTAACTTTCTGCTTGCAGCTGACTTTTCTGTAGCGGAATTCCTCCTGCTGCTGAAACTGCCCTGTGGTTTGATAAATTGAAGTTTCTCAATTCCCAGATGGAGAACAATTTATCTGAAGGACAGAGATAAATATTCCTATTGAAGTTAGCACTGTGAATTATGATGTACACAGCCATAGCACACCAGCCATGTGTTTCCAATCTTGAAATGAAATCCAGTTAAAAGACACAAAAAGAGCAGGCATGTAAACTGCTCTGAGCTCAGACTGACACAGGAGAGCTAAAACACGTAATTTAAAAGATCACACACAAAAGCTTTAATACAGTGAAACAGAGATGGAATTCAGTTTTATTTTGTCCTCTCTGAAACTTCCATTACACCATGGCCTCATCTATCAAAGAAGAGGAAGAAAAACGCCTGCCTTATGCCATCTGAAGTACTCATGTACTTGTTAAGAGGTGGCAGGATATAATGGTTTCTCCAGTTTTTTGGCTCCAAGAGATTACACTTTCAGTACCAGTGTAGTGAGGAACCACTGGCAAAATGCTGGAAATATCTTCTAGATTAGTCAGTGTACCATTTTGTAAAGTGCTTCTGGAGTTAAAATCTGTAAAACTGTCAAAAGTGTCCACACTTTTGCAACAAAGGATAAAACAATCCCAATGGGTATTTCATAGAGTCCTTCCCAGCTGGGTCTCATTATTGGCACGGTGCTTTAACCTCCAAGGCGCTGGCCCTCACCCCAGGCAAAGCCTCCTGGCCGTTCTTCAGGTAGTGGATTGTAATTTGGATCCTCATCTGGTGTATCAAAAATAGTCCTCCTAAAAGACAGGCAACAAATATAATTTAGTCCCAGAATCATCTTAGGTCCAAAGTACTATAAGGTCAGTTTACTCCCACAAGGTTGTCACCAATGGACAAACATTACATCTTCCTGCCAACTGAAGTTATCATGCTTTAAAAGTGTCCATAGCTACTTAACATTTTTATTAACTTTTAACTCCTTTACTAAATTTTTTTTTTGGTACCAGGAATCAAACTTGGGTCCTTGCACTTGCGAGGCAGGTGGCAGAACCACTGAGCTAACTCCCCAGCCCCTTTACTAATTTTTTTTAACCACAAAAGCAATACATATTAACTGAAGAAAAAAGGAACACTGATTAACAAAATATTCTGAAACCTGAGATAGCTATTGTTAATGTTTTAATCATTTTCTTAAAATAAAATAACCACAATTCTACAATAGATCACACTTTCGTCTGTTTTATAACCAGGCTTTAATTTATCACGAAGGTCTCCTCTTCACTCAAGGGTCCATTTACAGATGAATGAGGCCAGGCATGGCGGTAGACACCTTTGATCCCAGCTCTCTAGGCAACTGAGGCAGGAGGATCGAAAGTTTAAACCCAGCCAACTTGCCAAGACTCTATGAAGGAATGAATGAATGAATGAACTTTAGGAAAGAAAGAAAGAAAGAGAGAAAGAGAAAGAAAGAGAGGGGGGAGAGGGAGAGAAAGGCAGGCAGGCAGGGAATGGTTTAATTCCTAGTATTACACATCCACACAAATAAAGAAAGGACATTCATTCCAACATATGATACACGATAGATGAGGAGAACCTTGATGGCATTATACTAAATGAAATAAACCCAGTCACAAATACTGTATGATTCTACTTGTATGAGGTACCTAGATAAGTCAAATTAATAAAGACAGAAATAGAATGGTGGTTGCCTCGTACTAAGGGGATGGAGAACTAGGGAGTTATTTAAAGGACACAAGAGTTTCAGTTTTGCAAGGTGAAGGGTTCTATGAATGGTAATGATAAGAGCACACCAATATGAATATACTTAATATCAATTAATTGGTCATTTAAAAATGGGTAAGATTGTAAATTTTGTTAGATCCCATAATTTAGAAAAATTTTAAAATAAAAATATCCCAAGAAAAATTAGGCAGAGCATAGAGATAGTAAATGTTCAAAAGACTTTAGCTGCAAGTATATATTGATTCAAAAATCTCATTAAAAAATGAACCATTAAAGTAGCACCCTCAATTAGCACCATTTCTAACTGTACTTATCCACAGTTGATAAAATTATAAATATCTGAAAATTTCCACTTTAAACTGGAGTCAGAAAAAAGTATTTATTTCAAAATGAACTCTAATACTTACAAAATAACAACAAAAATAAGCATACCACTGGGCTGAAGGAAAAAAGCATTTGCTTAGCATTTGTGAGGCCCTAGGTTGGATTTGCTAGCAATGCAAAAAGCAAAAACGAGCCTACCAATAGAGAAATGGGCAAAGGATGAGCAGATAAACTAAAACGAAATCCTTATGGTCAATAACCATGAAAATGTACACTTTCACAATAACTAAAGAAAAGCATTCTAAAATAATTTTAAAACTTTTTACTGATCAAATGTTAAAGAAGGAAGAACAAAATAGGTGTCCACGGCAGAGTTGAGCATCCGTAGCTCTGGGCAGAAAAGGGATGGGGAGAAGTAGGTTAGTGTAAGGAGTCAAGGGCCCAACCAGGTTATGCAGACATGGAGATGACCTGATAGGATGTCAGTCAGAGTAGGGTGAGGAGGGTAGAGGAATGAATAAAACAACATAAACAAATTTCAAAGATACATATTACACTAGGACAACTTGTAAAAAAGGTATACATATCACGAGTCTATCCATGAAGCTGTAGACCATGTAAAACTAATCTATGCACATATCCATGCTCCTACACATACATATAATCCTGTAAGTTCAATGTAAGGACCTGAGACTGTCAACATGCCAATAGCCATGACCACATCTAGCATCTAGAACTTAGCTTCTAAATACTGTTCTCCACTAAAAAGCAACCAACGTTACCTGAAGAAACAGATGATTCTAGGACTAGGTCAGGGAGAGCCTGGAATATCCTGTTGGGCCAGAACGTAATAAATTGTTAAAAATAATAATGATGATTACAGGGAATATTCTGAAGGGATTTCCATTAGCCAAATTTGAGAAAAATCTATCAAAACAATAATAAAAGATTATAATTTATAAATAAAATAAAAAACCATGAATCTATGCAGATGTGAACAAATGAACTAATAAAGAGATATCTACATAATCTCTCTCTCTCTCTCTCTTTTTTTTTTTGGTGAGACAGGGCTATGTAGTTGAGACTGGCCTTGAACTCACTATGTAGCCCATGATGGCCTCGAATTTGCAGTGATCCTCATACCTCAGGTTCCTGAGGGCTGAGATTACAGGTGTGAGCTACCAGGCCAGGCTAGTCTATCTTAAATCACTTCCTTGTCATTGGGACAAAATATCAGGCACCTACAACTTAAAGGTGGAGAAGTTTATTTCAGCTCAAATTTCTTAGAGGACTTAGTATACAGTTGGAAGAAAGGGGAAGGTAGAAGGTGGAAGGTTCTGGCAGTGGAAAACTGCTAAAATCGTGGCAGTCAGGAAGCAGAGATGGACAGAAGGAGCCAGGGAGGGAGCTACACCCTTCCAAGTTACACCCCAGTAATCAGTGGATGAGCAGTGTTCCCTGACCTAATCATCTTCTAAAAGCCCCAACTCTGAACACATAAGGGTTTTGGGAGACATCCTAGATCTAAACTAACAATCTGAAAGTACCTTTCCAAGAAATACTCAACTACAAAAGGAAAAAGACTACTTTTACGGTGAGAAGCCTGGCAGATACCTTACTCATGCAAAGTGACCATTACTTTGACAAATATGACAAGTTGAAATCCTGTGCCAAGCAAGAGGTGGCAAGCAGAACACCGTCATTTCTCTTACACTCCTGCCAAAGCAGCAAACTTTGAATCTAAATACAAGGGAGAACATTAAACATGCTACAGACGAGCTCATAATCTTAAAAAACAAACGTGTGTTATGAAAAGTCAAGGAGACTTAAGCGAGTCTAAATGAAAGGCAACTAAATACAACACCTGAATCTGTATTCTTTGTTATTTATAGCAAAATTATACATTTATGTTATATAATGTTCTCTATAATATTATTAGAACAACTAGCCAAACTGGAATTTGGTCTGAGGCTTAATGTTTAGTTTCTGATTTTCACATGTGGAAGAATATCCTTGTTTACAGAAAATATACATTAAGGGGATATCAGGGCATTACAAGGACAATTCACTTTCTAATATAATAGTGGTGACCTATGGCCTGTGTGCCACAGCAGGTACGCAGAGACCTCTCTGTCAGCACATGAGCCAGCTTGCCCCAGTGGCCAAGCATGAGGCAACAGTTGTTTTTGTTTGTTTGTACTGTTTTTGGTACTAGGGATTGAACTCAGGTCCTTGCACTTGCAAGGCAGGCGGTAGAACCACTGAGCTAAATCCCTGGCCTAACAGTTGTTTTTTAAAAACTAAAACTTCAGTATTCAGGTTTAATTGCAGTATTGGCACTTTGTGATATATGTGAGTTTTGATTTGCAGGCTGGTTACCTGGTTTCTAAAAGGTTCACTACCACTGTTCTAATACTGTTAAGAGTTTAAAAAAGTCCTTTGGATATGTATAATTTTTTTTTGGTACCAGGGATCGAACTTGGAACCTTGTCCTGGTGAGGCCGGCAGCGGAACCACTGAGCTAAATCCCCAGCTGTATATGTATAATTTTTTTTTATAAGTCTGATATTATCTCAAAAAATTTTAAAAAAATCATAAAAATCAGGCTGGGGATTAGCTCAGCCACACAGCACCTGCCTGGCAAGCACAAGGTCCTGAGTTCAATCCTGGGTTACCCTCCCAAATCATAAAAAATGAGATACCATCTTATAGTTATCAAAGTAGGAAATGATAAATAAGGGAGTTAGGTAAAAGTATAAAGAAATCAACCCTTAGACACTGCTGGTAGAAATGTAAACTTGAACCATTTTAGGGCCAGGGATTTAGTTCAGTGGTTCCACCGCCTGCCTCGCAAGCGCAAGGACCCAAGTTCCATCCCGGTACCAAAAACAAACAAACGTGAACCATTTTGGAAGGCATTTAAGCAATAATTTAAATAGAAGTTCCATTATTCTTTTTTTTGTGGGGGGGTACCAGGGATTGAACTCAGGGCCTTGGGCTTACAAGGCAGGTGGTGGAACCACTGAGCTAAATCCCTGGCACAGTTCCGTAATTCTTTGGAAATAATCATGGATACATGCAGAGATTTGGCTACAAGGACATTCACCACTCCAATTACAGAAGGGAATTGCAAGAACTAATGTCACTGTTTAACAAAAAGGGACCAGTAAAAGTATGCTAAATCAGTATCATGAATTATCACGTAGCTGTTACAATTTTGTAGAACATTTATGACAGAAAAGTAATCGTGACATATTGTTAAAAAGGTTATGAAACAGCGCTTTAAAAAAGTATACTAAAAAAATATACTGATGGCAAAAGACTACAGGTATCAAAAAGATAACAATAGTAGCCACTGCAATGGTAATAAATGATTTACTTTTTCATTTATTCTACAACAAACATTGTATAATAAAAACTCATAATTTCCCCCTTAATCAATCCCTTTTTGAAAAAAATGTAGTAGTTCCCAAAGACACAAAATTCTGGAGTAGAAAGGGGTCTTAAAATTCAAATCTCTAGCTCAGGAAACTGAACCAAGCAAGATACAGCATAGTCAAACACTGCAAGCCAAAGGGAAGAGTAAATCTTGAAAGGAATAAGAGGAAAAAGAACACCACCTTCAAAACACATACACTGTATTAGTCAGCTTTGCATCACCAATGAAATACGTAACTCAGCGTAATTATTAAGAAGAGTCTATTAAACACGTGATTTTACAAGCTAAAACTCCAAAGGGCAGGGCACGCCTCAGCATAGAGCAATACCCCAAGCTCAGGCAGGACCTAGCAAGTGACTAAGTCTCAAACTAGAAGGTCACAAGAGCTGGGTGGCAGCAGGTCAGTTCCTTTTATAATGCTCCAAGGGATCCCATGACCTAAGATCCTCCCACTATGCCCCATCCCTTAAAGGTTCCACCGTATCTTTTAGTATGACCACTTTGGGAACTAAGCATCCAATCACAACTTCTGGGGGGATACAATTAGATCATATCCAAGCTACAGTGTGTATACACACACACACACATCCACACACTCACAAACACTTAACTTCTAATCACAAACGAAACTGCAGGAAAAGTTAGCACATGTAGCAAGCTGGGTATGGTGTCACATTCCTGTAATCCTAGCACTGGAAAGGCTTAATGCAGGAGGATCCTGAGTTTGAGCCCAGCTTAGACAAGCTTAGACTAGGATCTTATCTTATGTCTCACCATTAGAAAATTTCATCCATGTTGCCTAGTTTGCTACCTCAATTCTCTAAACTTGGACAGCACTTGTCATAAAACTATAGGCTCCTCCCTGGGCTAGGAAGTTTTAGTGGTCATCCAGGACAATAACTGCAAAGTCACCCCCACAATGTCTGGGATTATTAATCTCTTTTGACACAACGCTAGCAGCCAGCTCCTATTCAATCCAAGTGTACCCCATCTGTAGCCACATTACTCAATCTGCAAATACTGACTGCCCTAAACTATGTGTACCAAAAGGTATGAAAGTCTAATGAAACCCAGATCATGGGTTCCATCATGTTTTGTTTATTTATTTATTTATTTATGGAGACAGGGTCTCACTATGTAGTTGAGACTGACCTGGAACTATGTAGCCCAGGCTGGTCTTGAACTCACAGCAATCCTCCTGCCTCAGCCTCCCGAGTGCTGGGATTACAGGAGTGCGCCACCTCGCCTGGCTTCCCATCATGTTTCAGACATAAAACATGGGGTTAAATACTCACAAAATAGATGGTGTTTTCAGAATTCTTATTCCACCAGGCTGATTAGGAAATACATCTTCCAAGAAAAAGTATATGTGGCCAACTGCAATACCTACAGTCAACCAGAAATAAAGACTGAGGAAAGAACTCAAATTTTGACTGCACATGAACTACCAACGTTAAGTTGCTTATATTTAGGACAATTATCAGTGTAACTCTTAAAAATTAGTGAACTGATATTGTAGTCTTTAAGATGTAACTATCAAATAATCCTACAATAGCTATATATGAAGGATAGGATAAACATGAAAAATAGTGACAAAATAAATTTACAGGTTAAAACAACAGGAAAAGTAGTGTTAAGACTCTTACCCAAGAGGTCCACAATGATCGAGTTCCCCAACAATAAGGAAAACCCCATGAGCACCCAGGGCAGAAACGGGGCTTGGAAGTTGAGAAGGCCAAAGAAGTTCATGCGAACATAAGGGTTCCTTCGGCTCCACACGTAGACAAGCATTATTGTGAAGGCCTGGCCCAAGAAAACTAAGCTCACAAATAAACCAAAAAGCTAACAGATGGCATTAAGGAAAATATCAACATTGAAAGCATAATAGGGAAAGTTGAGACTTTAGAGCACTAAAAATTGTATTGTAATGAAAGTTTGAATTAGAAAAGTTGAGCGGTTACATATTTAGAATACAGTAGACCCTCAAGTTAGGACTGGCCTGACATTTGAACAACTTGGGTTAATTAGGTTAATGGAAGATTCACCTGCCTCTTGGTATCTACAGCGTGTACCCATGTAAACATCCAGATCTCAGCTGTATTGATTTACAACCAACTTCAGTTACAACCAGCCCTCCAGAACCAATTGAATTTGTCAGTCAAGGGTCCACTGTTAAAGGAAAAAAGAGTCTGAAAGTAATTAGCTGGAGCAGCAATGGTGAACCCTTTAGAGCTTTCAGTAACAGCAAACAGCCCTCTGTGGCATGTGTGCCATGGGTTTACCACCAATGTAATGACCTGGAGCGATCTGGTAAAAACTGGCTTAAGTGAGATCATCTGGATTACAGCTGTATGAACATGTGAAATGACTGCTTTTGTGAAGTTCTTGCCTCTTTGAAAAGTGTTAATTCCTTGGTCAATAATTACAATAAAAGCTCACTCACAGATGAACAGTGCTACCTGGAACAATACCATCTTGTCAGATAATACTACATCCAAGTCTATTATACACAATGAAATTCTTTTTTAATAAATAATAAATCATTTTTGACAGTGACTACACATCTCACTAACTTAGTTTAAAAGTGATGCACATTCATCAAGAACGATATAATGGGCCGGGGATTTAGCTCATTGGTTGTCTCTGCCTGTCTCCAAGTGCAAGGTCCCGAGTTGAATCCCTAGTACCAAAAACAAAACAAAACAAAACAAAAAACAAACAGAAAAAGATAATGATATAACTAAGATGCTTCATAGTAACCCACCTGGGTTAAAGTTCCTCTACCCTGCTCAGAGTGGTAGAAAGACATTCTGTCCAACTCTAGGGTGGGAAAGCTGTCACAAAAGTCAGCTGTAAAATAAATGGTAATGCCCTGAAGCTAAAATCTGGAGGTTTGCTTTTATCTGGTTGTTAAGAATATCTAGTCAATTGTAGGAGACAGATGAAAAGCTTTAGGAAGAGAGAGGCTGTTCTTTAACATTTTCCTGTATTTATTGAAGGATACGGTCATTAAGAAGCCACCAAAAAGGAACATAAATACAAAGTCTGCTGTCCGGCCTCGGAAAGAGCCTTCTTCTAGCATTCGACAGTAACGGTATCTTAAGTTCCAAGTTAAGAAAATGTTAAGCACACAAACACGAATAAAGTAAAATTTAACCTTTTAAGTATACTTAGACTTCACATTATCTGTAAGGAACTCAAGTCTTCATTTCTCTAACAATGTTTGAGTGGTAATTGGATTAATTATTTTTTTGATAGGATCTTGCTATATAGGTCAGGCTAGGTTCAAACTATCATGTAGCCCACACTGGGCTTGAACTTGTGACAATCCTTCTGCCTCAGGCTCCCAAGTGTTGGGATTATTGGTGTGTGTCACCACGGCTGGCTACATTTTTTTTTTTTTTTTTTTTTTTTTTTTTT